AGGCGGCTGTCAAGGTAAGGAATCTGCTTTTATTCTTTTTTTCCTTACTTTGCTTTCTTGGTGGTGATTCCTTTTTTGGCTGAGCGAGCTGGGCAGCTGCAGCAGCAGTCTGAAGTTTCTCCAGCCAGCGAGGAGCAGGTTCCCTGCCCTGACTTCACTGCTGCTGTGCCTGTAGAGAGCAAACACTGGGCTGAGAAGGATTCTCTTCTGTTAGTGAAGAGAGGACTAAATGCTGTTTGGCGATAAAACGGAGGCATAATCAGACAAAATAATCCATGGCTACACTTATGGTCCTAAGTGCAAAAATCTCAGAAGTTCTGGCAAGAGAACAAACTCTCACAGAAGTGCTCTGTGATCCTCGGTGTTGGTGAGCACCCCCTTCAGCAGGTGTGGTTTTTAACAGAAAGATGTGTTTCGTAACTGCAAAGATTGATGCAGGGAGGTGTGACCTTTCTTCAGAGCCACACCTGTAGGTGTAAGAGAGGGTTGGTGTCAGCCCCAGCCTGTCCCCAGCTGTGCTCCAGCTGTTCTGTTTTGTAACTGACTGTGCAACCAGCCTTCTGCGGAGACCTCAGGTTGTCTTTTTGGCCCTTGAAGGTACTGCAGCACATGAAAGCCATCCAGTCCGAGCAGGATCGACAGCGGCAACGGAAGCTCCAAGCAGAGCGGGGTAAGCACAAAGAGCCCTCACAGCCTCTCTGCTGAGGACTGTTCTTGATCTCTCTTGCACTGTCAAATATACTGGTCAACATCTAACTCATTCCTGTAACTATCAAAATCCTGAGGACTTGGGGAGTGGTAGGGTAGAAGGGCTGGAGGGAGAAGGACAGCCAGGGACAACCATGCGATGACTTGCCTGAATAATAGTTAGATCTCTAGATGGAATGTGCTGTAGGTTACCCATAAAAAAATACAAAAGAAGAGCACAGGATTTATTGAGGGAAGCCTAATTCTGAAGGAGCAAAATGCAAGTTATATGATAATATAAAAAAATCAAACCCAAACCAGACACAAAACCCCAAACCAGAAAAGGAGAATAGTTATTTGTTTCCTCATTCCAACTGAGAACAGATAGATAGCAGGTAATAAGGAAGAAGGCAGTTACAACCCTTTACATAAAGGGAAAAAAACTTCCTGTTAATCCCCAGAAATGGAGAAGAAGCGTGAAGCAGAACAGCGAGCAAAGGAGGCTCAGGAGAGGGAAGTGAGGAAGCGAGAGAAGGCAGAAGAAAAGGAACGCAGAAGACGGGAGTATGATGCTCAGAAAGCTGCAAAACAGGAGATGGAAAAGAAAACTAAAAAAGAAACCGTGCAGAGCCGAAGTAAGTAGTGTGTATTTTGGGTGGGATTGCATCAGATTTCATCTTCATCACATTTTGATGCTGCCAGATTTGCTTTCATGCAGCCCAGGTACCGGGAGATGGTGGGAGTCGGGGGGAAACCTGTAGGACTTCTAATAAGCTCAGCTGCTGTGACCCTTTCCCCCTTCATCTGCGTTCCCAACGAACTGCTGAGCTACAGGATCCAGAAAGTTCTCCAGCTACTCCTAAGGAGAACTTCCCTCCACTCATTTCTTACGGAGAACTTCCCTTCACTCATTTCTTACGGAGAACTTCCCTTCACTCATTTCTTTTTAAATGTCCTGAACTATGTGTGCGAAACAGACCTTGTGCAAGACAGAGGTGCTTTACACCCTGTTCACTGCTGCCCGTGAAACTAAATACGAAACTTTTCATCCCAAACGGGTAGATCCTGCACATGTACTGATTCACCAGAGTCAAGTGATGAAAAATCATGACAAAAGACAACTGCAGCACGGGCTGAATTCTCTTACCTGAGCTGATTGTTTCTGAATATAGACTGTTAAAGATATTTGATTGATTCCTCACATTCTGTGTCCTGTAAATGTTCTGGTTACAGAGCCCGCCTCCGGCTCCCGTCCCGCTCAGCCGCCCCGGCACAAGCACTCCTGGTCGCGGTCGGTGCTGCGGGTCCTGCTCTTCCTGCTCTTCTGTGTCCTCTGTACTTTGGCCGCCTGCAAGCTGACAGAGCTGCAGCGTCAACCCCTCTGCGTCAGCGTCAACACTCTCTACGAGGACGTGTTAGCCGCTCTGCAAAACCACAAAACCCTGCAAAATATGCTACAACACAACTCGCAGCAGTGATTGTCCTGGACGGGCACTTACTTCATCAGCATCTCCCTCCACCATCTACGCAGCCAGAATTCCTATGGAATTGTGTTCTGATGAAACTGCTTTGACTCAGTCAGCATCGGTTTGCTGGTCCCACTCCACACAGAGTTATTGCTCACATCATCTTTGCTGTGCATGTTTCGCAGTTGGCCTGTAACTCCCATTATTTGCCCATGTTAACCTAAACTTGTTAACACTTCTTAACCTCCAAGGGATTTTTTTTACGTAGAGTGTGAGATACAGAAAGCTGCCAATCTATAGGAGTGGAAAAAAAAAAACCAAACAGCGTTATCTAGGTGGCTGTAGCTCTATCCTGGAGGTAGAAGGTTTTTAATACATATCCATTCCTTGCTCTCATTTCTATTTGTGCTAAAATTGGTGATATGGCTGTATGGGAATCATATATTAAGGCCTACTCCAGGACCAATTACAAGTTGTGTAGGATGGCTGCGCACCCGTATGTTGGAGTGAAGAAGCTGATGTACTATTGAAAGGAGCTGAAAATTTTCAATACAAGAGTTTTCGCAGCAATTTGTCTGAACTGGATGTTTATGTGTCGCTAATTGCCGTTTTAATTTTAAATTAGGTCTTTTAGGAACAGCCCAAAAAAATTATTCCTGAGTATATACAGCAATGATTTCTGGCTACGTTAATTTTAATCAGCTGTGCCAACAAAGTGGCTGCCACTTCAGGCTTCTGGCCCGTCTGCGGGCTGGTTTTGTGCCTGTGACAAGAGGGGGGTGTCTGAGGCCCACGGAGAGACGGTGGGCGAGTTGACAGGGAGGGTGGGCGAGTTGGCTGGTCGTTGCCAGGTGCGGGCTGCAGCGGTGGCAGGCAGCGCTGGGTGGCGCTGTGGCAGCACCCGGCAGAGAAGGGCTTTGCCTCGGGGCTGTTGGGGAAGGTGGGAGGTTGGGCGGTTTGCACCTAAAGAAAACTCGCCTGCGCAAAGGCCTACAAACAACTCCTAATTTCCTTAAAGAGAAAACCAAACAGCTGTTTGTCATATCCTTAAGGGCTTTGTGAGCACTAAAATGAGCTGTACACCTATTATTAAGTGCAGGTTTCAGAGAACAGCCGTGCCACAGACTCCACTGAGACATCCCACATCAGTCACCAGAATCATAGAGTGGTTTGGGTTGGAAGGGATCTTAAAGATCATCCAGTTCCATCCCCCTGCCCTGGGCAGGGACATCTCCCACCAGACCAGGTTGCTCCAAGCCCCATCCAGCCTGGCCTTGAACCCCTCCAGGGATGGGGCAGCCACAGCTTCTCTGGGCAACCTAGGCCAAGGTCTCACCACCCACACAGGAAAGAATTTATTTTTAGTATCTAATCTAAATGTCCCCTCTTTCAATTTAAAACCATTACCCCTCGTCCTAGCACTACACTCCCTGACAAAGAGTCCCTCCCCAGCTCTCCTGTAGGCTCCATTCAGATACTAGAAGGCTGCTATAAGGTCTCCCCAGAGCCTTCTCATCTCCAGGCCGAACAACCCCAACTCTGTCAGCCTGTCTTCATAGGAGGGGTGCTCCAGCCCTCTCTATCACTCCCTCTCTTCTAGTACCTGGGATTGTTGCTGATAAGAGCTGTGCCATGAGGAAATAATCTATAGCATTTCATACCGAGGTCATCATCGACGCAGTAAGCCCTTCACCTTTTTGTAACCTAATGATAAGGCTGTGGTTCCCCGAGTATCACACAGTAAAAGGCGATAGCACGAGTAGCAGATAAAAGGAAGGAACGGCTGCATGTTTCTCACTTAGCAGTATATGTGTTTCCTAAGCTTCCTGGAAACAGCTTTAGGCTTTCGTTTTGGTATCTAACTCATCACATTCTTCAAGATGTCCTTGCTTACTATCCAGAAACACGGCAAACAACATCCTCTCTGCAAATGCTCCTTCCAGTGTCTGGCAGGACTCTGCTGCTTTGCCAACTAGGAGTACTGCTTAAATTCACAAATGCCGGGCTAATAAGATTTATGAGTCCAGGTCAGAAGCGCACCATCGGCCCAGCGAGGGCTCCTGATGAATGCCTGAAACCAAATATTGGGTGGGTGTTTTCCTTCCAGGCAGGATGGTCTCAAAAGGTAACATCCACATCCTGGATGCAGTTTAATTCACTCTCAGCACTCATCTCACTAAGTGCTGCTGTCACGAAAGACCTCGACTGTCCTTGTGTGCACACAAGTGCTAATGGCTTCGTGGACAGGCTAGCATGTTCCTCAATCTAATTAAAAGAAAGCTTTTTCTGCCAACTGTTTAGACCTCATAATTCCAACGTATATAATCAGATTTCGAGATCTTCTATAGATTAAGCCGTCTGGAGACTGAATCAGGACAGTCTAAATTTATATCTGAAAATTAGTCTTACTCATTCCCATCTGTCACAGCGGAAAACTGACGAGTCTATTTTGTGAGGTAAAGTTCCTCCACCTCACTTGAGCAGGTGCTGGAGGGGCAGCACCACATTGCCTTAGCATTGGGATTTTTCTTGCTGGAAAGAGACCGTAACTACTTGCAGTTCAGCATAGCAGTACAAAGTATTCCTTTCAACAGATAACATACCTGCCTACATGCAAGACGGCATGTTAAGAAGCCAAGATCATTATTATTAGTCAAAATTATTTATTTGCTAGGAAGATAAGTAAAAGGAACTCTCAGTACTATAAGCCGTGCTCAACTCACACTCTTAGGAAATATTTTCACCATCTTTCTTGGGTAAAGCCCAGCCAATCAGCAATTTTATCCAACCTTCTTCTGCTACAATAAAGTCTAGATACATTTTAAGTCTTTAAACCAGAATCTTTAAACCAGAAGGAAGCTGAATACTTAAACCAAGCACACAGTAAAATCCTCATCCCCTGGGGCTACCCAGCGAAATCCAAATAGAGATCAGGATCATGGGAAGTCATCTGCAGGTAGACTCGTCGGGACAGTTCTGGTCCAACCCGCCGGGAGGTGGCTGTCACCCCCTCACCGCGGTGCACAGGGATAGCAGCCAGCAAGTTTTCCCTCTCCTGCTCCGAGGAGCATCTGCTATAGGCCTAAAAGCAACACAAAGGAACAACGGTATCATCTATTTGCATCCAGTGCTCAAAAAAAAAAAATAATCAAAGCTAGGGACTTGTGATTGCTCCACCCTTCCACAATGTACACTTATTTTTCACCTGGTTTGTCCCCAGATGTCATTTGTGAGCTTAGAGGCTGATGTACAAACAGTACTGCACCCTCAGTGGCCTGCTCTCTAAAGCCAAAACACTGGGTGCCAAGGAATCGGTTCTTTCACTACGTTACTAAACAGCTCATACAGAATCATTGTGTCAAATTTAATACCAATTAAATTATTTTCTCCACCCTTTAGATTAGCTGGCTGTCTGCACACTGTACTTGGTGTTCCCAAAGCATCCTTACCTGGATCAGAAGCTGAGGAGAAGGGTAGGCAGACACAATAGCCTCAGCCATCTCGCGGCTGACCCGGTTAAATTGTTGTATCTGCCTCTTCCAAACTTCCAAGAGACCCTTTCCAGAGCGATCCACCCTCACCCCTCCACACCACTTCTTCTCTAAGTAGAAAGAGAACCCCACATTCTCTCGCTCTCGCCTGGGGAGAACAAAGGATGGGAAAGCAAATGAGACACTGAGGATACGAAGAAAATCCTATTCCTGCATCTGTTGCCGTGTTGCCCGAGAGCCATTTCTCACTCCGTGTTGTTATAGACACCATTGGCATCAAAGCAAACGCTAAAAAATTGACCCTGTTTTCTTTATGTGCATTAGCAATTACCTTTTTTTAAGGAAATTTCCTACTGAAAAAGGAAAAGAAACAATCCTGTACTTGAGAGCCATCCTGACACAAGCCAACAGGCATACGAAGCGGTAAACAAGAACTCACTTTCTGACTGTCAACCATAATAAAACACTTTTACAAGTCATTTTTAACGATACCTCATCTCTTCTCATGGCTGAGATGTAAAATAGAGCAGCTGCTCTGACAGGAATGCTAGGATTGTGTGAGACTGCACAAGATGGCTTTCTGAGCTATCGCTGTGCAACATGCTGCTGTCCTTCCTTATCGATGGAAGCAAATAAATTATCAGTAACATCTCTCATAGTTACACACCAAAAAAGAAAAGCTGGTGCTGTCAGAGCCCAACCCTACCAGCATTCCCTTCCCACGCCTAAAATCAGACTGAGAAGAGCTTTATTTGATGTCAAGACTCAACATGAAACCAGGGCCCGTGCCCACCCCTCCCCAGGCAGGACATCAGTTTCCAACAAGTAACTCTGTGCTGAAGGAGCTGCACCAACAGCTGCTCTGTGTCACCTGCTCCTTCCACAATCGTTATATGGTGTGGTAGGGAAGTACAGCCACATACCTGCTGTTCCCTCCCAGTAACTGTGAAAGTGTAGCCCCTCCAAAGGTATGACCAAAATTCATCTGCTTACTCACTTGAATGGTGCTTCAGCTACAGCTTTTGTGAACATAGTGGCAAACTCCCCGAGCTCCTCCGAGCTCTCAAAAAAGCTGACTTGAACTTGTTTGCAGAGCTGCAGATCCACCAAAGCCTGTAAACATCATTGGAAACAACAAATGTAACAACTAGTCTTCTCACAGCAAACCCTACTCTTGCCTGAACTGAAAAAGGGTCACAACATCTCGCCATAGGACAAGAACATCCACTCTCTCCCCATTTTGGGAACAGTTCATTTAAGGCACTGAAATATTTAGCTTGTCTCCCACCGGTTAATATCAGTTTAGCACCATTTCAGCTGCAGCAGTAGCAGGCTCTCATTATGCTCCAGCCACCCAGCCCAGAGCAGCACTGATGTGCTTTGCCAGCGGGCCATGAAGGACAAGAGATGCTGGGACTGACAGTTTCACTGCCTGGGATCAAGGTGAACAAGACACATGTACCTGGGAGAGCAGGTACATACCCGAGCAATGGGGAACTGAACCCAAAGAGCTCTGTCCACAGACACATGGACTAACGGAGGCTGAATCTCCCCATCCAAGAAAGTGTGTGATTGGGTCAAATGTTCAAATAATGGCAGACAACAGATGATGGCTGCATGTGTGTTTTAAAGGCACTCACTTCTTCCACGTCCATTCTGGTTATCTCCAGGTCAGAATCTTTAACTTTCTTGTTCCTCCGTTTTCCCTGTTCTTGGTTTCCACTCGCTGCTGCCTGTTGTTGTCTCTTTTTTGACTGAACCGTGAGAGACCTAAGAAGAGTAAAGTGAAACCAGGACTTCCTTGGGTGGTGAGACACTGGAACAGGTTGCCCAGGGAAGTTGTGGATGCCCCATTCCTGGAGGTGTTGAAGGCCAGGCTGGATGTGGCCTTGAGCAACCTGCTCTAGTGGGAGGTGTCCCTGCCCATGGCAGGGGGTTGGAACTCGATGATCTTTGAGGTCCCTTCCAACCCAAACCATTCTGTGATTCTATGCTTGTCCCCAGGTATTTGCCATTGGTCAGTATGGTGACAGGCTGGATGGAACTTTGCTTCTGTTTCTGCATTACAAACAGTGGAGTAGTTCTAGGTAGGAATACCTCATGCTCCAATCTTTGCAGAAGGAATTAACGTAAAAACCTACAGCATTTTCCAAGGCCAGAGACAACATAGAAACGAAAAAGAGTTTAACCTGAAATAACTTTCTACTTGAACTACTGTCAATGCCAGAATTTTCCCAGGCATTTTCTCCATCACATGATCTACATAGCTCTGCAGGGTCTCCTTCTGTCCTGCTGTACAGCCCTTGGCCTCCTGCAAAGATCAACAGAAAAAAGGAGTTAAACCGTTCTGAGTTACACATGCAAGCGCAGCAATCTATGGCAACTCAGAAAGAAAGCTCATCAGAACTTCACATTATACAACCCTGGTGTTTTTGATCCATTAATGGCTTCTAAAACCAGATTTCTGGTTTACTGAAACCATGGCTCCATCCCACATCAAAATCTTCCTGCCGTGAAACAACCACCACCCTTACAGCAAGGCACAAAAGTCATGAGCACTCTCACTTGTTTGTAGTTGCGAACCATGGACAAAAACTCCTCCAAGCAAAGCAGAACTAGGACGTTTGGTTCTTCTGTCCATTTGTCTTCATCTTCCACCTGTCCAGAAAACAAACAGCCAGACCAACAGTCTGTTTAGAATTCACTCAAACTGGTGCTCCCACTCAGACCTGGAAAGCAGAGAGAAGATTAGAAGGTGCTTATGTGTCGCTAAATACAATTGTTAATGAGCGCAGGAAGAAATGGGCAAGAACATCGAGATTTTGCTTGCACACCTGAAATGACACAGTCTTTCGCCTCCAGGTGATGCTGCAGGGAACAGCCTGACTCTCAACCACACAGGAATAATTTGCAGCCTGCAAAGCGCTAAGGATTTGTCCACCACCTTCTACCTGTAAGAGAACTGAAATTGACGCATGGGTCAGGCCTCCATAGCAAGAGCTCACAGCCAATATAAGGCAGACACAGGCCATGAGGACAAGTACCTGGATCTAGCACCACCGTTATGTATTTCTGGCACTCTCCTGGTCGCTGAGCTTTCAGCATCTTGGCAAGGGCCCTCTTCCTCTCTTTTTCCTGTTCCTGCTGCTTCCTCCGTTCTTCTCGCTCCTTCCTCCTCTGCCACGCAGCCTGGCAGATTGCCTCCCTTTCCTTCTGACTATATTTTGACTTCTTGGGAGCGGGGGATGCTTCTGGGCTCACTCTGTTTGCCAGGGGCATACTCAGCTGGCCCGAGGAGTCCGACTGAGAGGCCAGCAGTGGGCACAAGGAGGGCTTCTCAGCAGCACAGGTGCCTTTTTGGCTGCCACCAGATGTACCTCCGGACGACACCAGGGCTCCCTGCAGCCCTCCGCTGCCAGGTGCCAACAGGTCACCGCTTGTGTAAAGGCCAGCTCCCTCCACCGCGTCCCCACCACCCGGGTGGGAGGACTCAAAAGCCCTCCTCTTGATCCTTTCGGGCAGAGGAGCGACCTCCACCACCTCTTCCTCCTCCTCCTCATCATCCTCCTCCTCACTGCTCACCACCACAACCACCTCCGTCGCCCTCCGCCTCCTGGGAGGGGGAGACGGGGACCGCCGCTGGCCCAACCCGCCGGGGGGTAGCGAGGGCCGCAGCAGGGAGGCTAAGGTCGGCAGTTCCTCCTCCTCCTCTTCCTCATCGCTCCCCTCAGACCTCGGCCCTCTCTCCGCCATCCCGCTTCCCCCCTCCAGTAACGCATGAATGCTGAGGATGGAACCGGCCCGCGCTGAGAGGAAGCTCGCGCGGGCGGTGATTGGTCGGAGGGCGGGCGCGGCGGGCGGCGATTGGTCCGAACGCGCGCGGGCGCGCGCGTTCGGGCCAATCGCCGCTCGCCGCGCCCGCTCCGCCCCGCCTTCCACACCGGAAGAGGCGGTAGGGAAAATGGCGGCGCTGCGGCAGCTGTGTGAGTGAGGGGGTTACCTCCGGCTTCACCCCTCCGCGGGCTGGGGAGGGGGTCCGGCCGTGAAAGGGGGATACGTTGGGGGAGATCACTGCCGGTGGCTTAGTGGTCGAGGCCTTCGCCTTCACCTCAGGTGGTGCTGTGGTGAAATGGGAGGGTTTCAGGCCCGTATCGTGAGGGCAGGGACCTCAAGGGGCCTATAATTTAACTTGCTGCAAGTAAGGTGGGATCTGAGGTGAGGGCCGAGGTGCTGAGGGCTTTGTCCTTCCTAGGCTCGAAAACCTCCAGGGATAGGGAGTGCACAACCTCTCTGTGCTGCTGCTTGGCTGCCCTCAAGGTGAAAAAAATCATCTGTGGGAAAAAAAAAGTATGTGCGCTAGGGAGAGACCAACCAGCAAGGGGTACCACTCTGTCTGTGCGCGGTGCAACAGTCGGGAGGCTTTAAAAATGCCTTTTTTTTTAAAATCTAGAAGCATTATAAGGAAAGGCTCAAAGAGCTGGGGGTCTTTAGCCTGGAGAAGAGAAGGCTGAGGGGAGACCTCATCTACGTTTACAAGTATCTAAAGGGTGGGTTGAAGGAGGATGGAGCCGGACTCTTCTCAGTGGTTTCCAGCGATAGGATGAGGGGCAACGGGCACAAGCTGGAACAAGGGAAGTTCCATTCAAATATGAGGAAAAACTTTGCAGTGAAGGCGGCAGAGCCCTGGAAGAGGCTGCCCAGGGAGGGTGTGGAGTCCTCTTCTCTGGAGATCTTCAAGCCCCACCTGGATGCCATCCTGAGTGATGTGCTCTGTGCAACCCTGCTTTAGCAGGGGAATTGGACTAGATGTTCTCTAGAGATCCCTCCCAACTCTGACAATTCCATGATTCTGTGAAATATCGTCATGGCTTCTTTGGTGGGACATCAGAATTGTGAAGTTTTTCCACTGATTCCCAACATGACTTCAACCAAGTTACAAACTCGCTGAGTCTTCTCTGGATAACACCTTTCCCTGCATGTTTGATGGTTTAATATTTTTTTTTTTTGTTAGCAAGCTTCTTTCATGCAACACCAAATGTAACCCTGGAATCAATCCGTTGGAGTTTTTTTGATAAAAGTTAATTGGACTATAACTTCATAGAATTTGTGTCATGAAACTCTAATTCTCATTCGTCTTTGCCTGCTTCCCTGGAGTTCGTCAACTCTCAGAGCCTTTGTTTTACTTAGTGAGTAAGCTCCTGAAATTAATGGCTCTTTGTAGAGTAATTTCTCTTTTCTCAACAATATTTATAGCTCACTGAGTATCTATGATAATTTAATTAAGATTAAATTAATCCAGGGGTTTTACTCAGGTTAAGAAAGGAAGAATGTTATGATAACCACTCTTCCGTACTAACCTGCTGCTGAAAAGGTTGAATAGAGGGATTCAGAAAAAATGGATTTACTTGCTAACTGCATGAAGGGAGGTACTGAACAGATTTTTCAAAAGAACTAATTATATCTCAGTCATTTTTTTACAGAGCAAGTTCACTAAAGGGGCAGCTTTCTTGATAAGAAAACCAGTGTGGTTTTAGTCAGTGTCTTGTTTGTTTGTTTAAGGAAGAAGTTTGTGGTGTGAATAATATTTTGTGTTCCAGAGACAATCAGTGTCCTTAAACAACTGATTATTTTTTTTCCCTTCACTTGACCTGATTGTTACTCAAAGATTTGCACAATATGCTTCAATTAGTATGATCAGGGTAGCAATTCTATATATGCTTATATACTGTCCTGAACTGGAGTCGTCTTGGTTGTAAAATTTCAAAATATTACTGTGTAAGTAAATGCTGTTTGATTGAAGGGGAGAGTGAAACACAGATCACAACTTGTCTTTTCTCAAAGCAATGTAAGGCCAATCCACAGCAGCCAGTCACATCTGTACCTCATTTCACAAGACCTTGCTGAAATGGGAATTTGGGCACATCCTTTGACATTGTTCCTGAGAGTTTTATTCCTCCCTGGGCAGCAGCAGCAGCACTTGAGATGTGGCCTCTTTGCAGGGGACTTAGGCTATGGTGGTCTAATTATGATTCATTTTGGAAGTAATGTTTTTGTTTTTTTTTCCTCAGGGCTTTCTGTTGCCTTTAGTTTTAAAGCCTGTCTTAATTGAGAACCTTTAAATCTGAAAAAATAAAGTGTGTGTAATAGTTCTTTTTCAGCTGACGTTGTTGTTCTTGCTTCCAACCTAGTTCTCACTCCTCCCCAAACAAGCCTGATTGCCATCAGATGTGCTTCTAAGAAAACTGGGGGCAGCTCAAAAAATTTAGGTGGCCGCAGCCCTGGGAAGCGGTATGGATTCAAAAAAGTAGAAGGTAGGGCTTGAGTATCTGCTGGATCTTAATCTGCATTTCATGGGGTTCCTCACAGCTTCTCCCCTGGTCCAGGTGTGAAGTTGTTGAGCATTTCAGTAGGAGGTGGCCAGGGCTCTCCTCCAGGAGAAAGGGAAGGGGAGGTTCAGGGAAACCTTGTGCTCAGGAGTAGCTGGTGGGGGGGCAGGGTGAGTCAGCCTCCCTCCCAGCTGGGCCCGCCAGTGGCCAGCTGAAATTGCCTGCAGAAAATGTACTTTGATTCTAACTTTGCCTCTCTGGTGCGCTGCGGGGACACCTAATAACGTAACTGCACTTTTCCCCCACACTGTGTTGAAAAGCTGGGCATTTTGGATGTTTACAAAGGGGAGAATTATGAGACTTAGCAGATGCCAAAGTACAGATTCTTGCAGCTGAGCGCTTAATAATTATTAGCTTTGCTCGTGAAAACATATCGATGTAAAAGGCAATAAAAGAAATGCCTTCAGCAACCAGAAAATGCCTTGTACCCTAGAAGTAATCTTTTCAAAGACTGGAATTGCTTTTTGTCATTGTGTATCAACGGCCCTTTATTTCCTGTTAACAGCATTTTTTGTTCAGATGCTTTTAGCATTTGAAGTAATTTTCCATTCAAAAATTCCCACAGAAAGTTGGGGTTTTTTTGTAAGTCCTGGAACCATTTGTGTTCTGCCAGGGCTTCGGGGAGCTCCGTTTCTCTGCAGTCTGACTCTGTCCCTCTGTTGCAGGTGCCTTCGTGCACGCAGGCAACGTGCTGGCTACGCAGCGGTTGATCCGCTGGCATCCAGGGGCTCATGTAAGTTGCTTTTCCATCTCTTCCTTAGTTCTGAGAGAACAGCAGCCTGCCACGGAGTCCTGGACTCAGTGCCTCCTCTCTTTCAAGCTCCTTTTTAATGCTTTTCCCTGTATTCTAGATAATCCTGAAAGTTAGGGATATCCCCAAACGCTTCTGTAACCGAACTGGGTGCTTGTGCTTCAGGTGGGAATCGGGTATCTCCTCCCTTGGAATGAGCACCATTGCACACCGATTGCTGGAAGCAAATAGTGTGGTTTTCTTTTATTTTAAAATACAAAGCAACAGATGCTGTTGAAGCCAGGATATCAAATGAGGCAGACCAATGCTCAGATCTGCTTTTAGTGGTGGACCTCCAGCCTTTCCTTTTCTAACACTTCTCATCCTCTTCCAGGTGGGGATGGGCCGGAACAAGACGCTCTACGCCCTGGAGGATGGGATCGTGAGATACACCAAAGAGGTCTACGTACCTCCTCCCCGCAGCAGCGAGAGCAGGGAAGTGATCTGTCGTCTACCCAAAGGAGCAATTCTTTATAAAACCTTTATCAATGTTGTCCCTACCACAGAAGTAGGAAGCTTTAAACTGGTCACCATGCTCTGAGCCTCCTGCGTCACGAAGGGACGGATGGGAAGGAGCAGCTGGGACAGACCACTCCAGCTGGACTGGCATCCGAGGACAGGAATGTTCTAGCTCGGAAGATACCAGTTTAGGACTTTGTTTTCTTGCTCCTAAAGCAGACGTGGTCAGTGTTCAGGCACTGGCATCACCTGCTGGAATTTGTGAGAGTGTTTAATAAACGCTGTGGGGCTGCTGAAGGTCTCGACTGTTCATAGAACACGTTACTTATGTTCATTTAGTATCGAGCTGCCTTCCTCTGGAGAACCTGTTCCGCTGTGCCACTGGATGAGTTCTCCCTGCAGTCACTCTTATGTCACTACTTATCCCACTAATAATTCCCTCTAGCTATTTTTACTCCTTTTTAGACATTACAGTTACATTTGTACCTTAATTCAAAATACTGCAGAAGAGGACAGATCCTTTTCCACTTGCACCTAACTCTGCACCTCAGAAAGCTAGATTTTTCCTTCTAACTCACCTCCACGATTAACTCAAATATCCAAAATATCTGAAAGTGTCCCATTTACTAGCCACATGAGGCAAGTTCACATTCATAAAGCGACCTCGTGACTAATTTTAGAGTGCCTGGTAAGATGCATAAGTCTGGGGTGGCATTTGGAGCTCAGCAGCTGGAGGTGTATCATAAAGCTATAATCCAGAAGAACTTGGTCTTCCCCGAGTCGTTCTGTGACATTTTCAAGCTTAGGTTTCTCAAAAGAAAGGAGCCCAAATGCCCTGTGGCCAAACTGATCTCATTTTATCTACAGGCTTGTAAACAGTTTGAAACATTGGCTCTGCAGTAGAAAACACGTTATCAAAATTGGTGCTGTAAGGACACCGGTGTTGACATTATTAGGTAGCTCTGCAGAAGATGACAAGGTAAACGGGGTCAGCTACGTGTGTCCACCTTTGCTTTATGTTCTTCATGGAGACCACCAGCTGTTTTGTCCACTTCTGTCCTTTCCCAGCTTATGAATCCAGTCACAGGGTTCATCTCGGTGGTCGGTATTCGCGTAAAGCAGGT